TACTGTAACTCCACTAAAATTCCACCGTAACTATTGCACTCTATTGTAACTATACTGTAGTGCTTGAATTCTACTGTAACTCCACTACACTATACTGTAACTCTAACTCCTCTGAACTCTACTGTAACTGTTTAACTCTACTGTAACTCTATCGAACTCTACTGTACTCTACTGAAGCTGTGATTGTAAGCCAGGTGTGGTGATGCGTGAGGGCTTCACCATGCAGAGTAATGAGCCTCTCCTTTCAGCTTTAACATCGTGTTCACTGTAATCTCTGATCTCTCTGTTCGTTTTATTTCACTCTGCTCTGTTGCTCTGTTGTGAATGGAGCCGGTGTTTTTTAACTGTTCCACTCTATTCTTTCTGTTTTAAACACACTGTTATTGGAGACGGAGATGCTCAGTAAGAGCAGACTGAACCTGTATAGACCCTGTTTTAGATTCCACCTGAACTGTTGACCTGAAATCTGTTACTGTAACTGTTCTGCTCTTAGAAACGCCAATAAACTACAGACTCCAGCTGTTTCACTGACTGAATATTAACAGCTTTAAGTGAATAATTAGATGATGAAATATAATCTAATGTGTTTTGATTCTATTATAATTTTTAGTGGTGTTTCTTCAGCTCCTCTGTTTCTGTTTCTGCATTTGATCCGTTAAAAACGCTGAATCCACAGAGCCCTAAAGGTGACATGGTGACACTTTTTGATAAGGTGTCACCACAAATTAGTACATTGAGGCTGTAAATTAATATATTAAGGCCACAAGTTACTATATAACGGCTGCAATTTAGCACATTGAGGCGACTATTCACTATAATGTGGCCACAAGTTACTATATTAAGGCCAAAATTACTAAATTCATGCCTCAAATTACAATATTGAGGCCACAAATTACTATATTAAGGCCACAAATAAATTGAGGCCACAAATTAATAGTCTGAGGCCTCATGTTACTATGTTGAGGCCACAAATTAATATAATGAGGGCACGCAGTTTTGACTAATTTAACTGGTGGCCTCAAAATATTAATTTGTGGCCTAAATATACTAATTCGTGGCTACCTTTTAATAATCGCCATGTCACCTTAGGAGCTCCGTTGATTCTGCAGTCCACGACGCAGACAAAACCACCTGATGTGAATTTTGAAAAATCGGTGCAATTCCCCTTTAAATGTAATAAATAAGAGTGGTCAGCAGGGGGCGCTCTGCGAGATATAATCTCACCATCAGGCGCAGATACTTTCTTTTATTCCTACCCGCATTCCGGACAGCTGGCAAAGGGGATTGGAAGAGGACCAGCAGGAGTGTGAGCTCACAGCCAATCACAGTGCAGGAGGCTGGGTTCTATCGGCCAATCACAGCGCAGGAGGGGCGGGGTTTCCCTGAATACAGGTGGGCTGTAATAAGCTCCGTTTAGCTGCTTTAGTTCATTGACGGCGGATCAGCGCGAATGAAACAGTAAGAAACTGTAATTCACTCGTTATAAACACGCAGATCTGAGATAATAACAGCGGAGACGGCGATAAACCCGCCTGTGCGCGTTTTTAGCGGCGACGGCCTCGTTTAACACCGGCTGTGTGCTCCGGCCGGCTTAGTTAGCTTTAGCTCTGAGCTACAGACTGAGCCTCTTACTCGAATTGTCCGTTCCACCTTAACCGCTGCAGCATTTAAGGTGGAACGGACAGTTCGACTAGGAAGCCAACCTGCTGTTTTTAAAAAGAATCAGTTTTGAATGTGGTTTAGATTCCTGACGCTGTGTGATACACTGGGCTGAAGTGCGTTAGCATAGCTAAAAACAGCAGCAGCCACACTGGAGCGTTCATCATCATCATTTACCTGTTCAGGCATCATGATAATTGGTGGGGTATACATTTTAATTATTCCTTAGCTACACTGGCCTCATAGCTCCAGGGCTAGAACTAAAGAAGTATGAGCAGGGTTAAAAAAAAAAAAACTGGGGAAATTTTGATTTTTGGTGAACTTTTCCTTTAAAGGGACACTCCAGCCAAAATACAAAACGTTACCATGGCTACGTCTGTTGTAAACATGCCTATTGTGCAGCTACAGCACTGCTGCAGCATCTGTAGAGTGAGATTTTCCAGTGTAAACACTAAAACCCCCTTCTGATGACGCATCTTGAAGGTGGGAGGAGCTTTTGGGAAACTATAAGTGTGTTGGAGTTTCGAGGACAGGCTGTTTAAAATGCTCCTCTGCTGGACGGTCGCTTAACGTTACGTTTTTTGATAAGACGTCACCACAAATTAGTATACTGAGGCTGTAAATTAATATATTAGGGCCACAAGTTACTGCATTACAGCTGTAATTCAGCACGTCGAAGCCACAATTTACTATAATGTGGCCACAAGTTACTGTATTACGGCCGCAGTTTAGCACGTCGAAGCCACAATTTACTATAATGTGGCCACAAGTTACTGTATTACGGCCACAGTTCAGCACGTCGAAGCCACAATTTACTATAATGTGGCCACAAGTTGCTGTATTACGGCCGCAGTTTAGCACGTCGAAGCCACAATTTACTATAATGTGGCCACAAGTTACTATATTACGGCCACAGTTTAGCACGTCGAAGCCACATTTCACTATAATGTGGCCACAGGTTACTATATTGAGGCCACAAATGACAGCGTTTCCCGTTGCCGTGGTAAATCACGGTGTGTTCTCTGAGTGTATTGTGGAAACTGCAGTGGTGAAAAACACTCCACTGCCTGATTATAAAGAGAGCATAATCAGTGCTGCAGCTGTTACAGTGTTGATATAAATCATCGTATTGATCGTTTTTGGTACTTTGTAAAGGTGGCGCTTATTTGTCTTGTCCAAAGTATATATAATGACACATCATGTATCGTGAAAGTTCTGAAAGTATCGCGCTGTTCTGTTTTTGCTGTATCGCCGAGCTCTGCGGCGAAGCTTTTGCGCATCATCAGAGTCAGTTGATTTCATTACGAAGCGTCGTTACGTCATCACTGTTTCAAAACGCTGGTTGGACGCGGGAGGAGGGAGGGGAGGGATCGACCCCCAGAGTGAACCTGTGTCAAACGTAGCTACGGCACCTACTGATCTCCAATCAGCCGTCAGAGCTTAGATTCATATTATTTAATTAAACGACACTCGGCTGATCAGCGGTCAGTGGTACCAGGTTTTGAGATCACCTGACAGGTTTCTGTACTGCCAGTACATCTTATAGACATTTATAAGCTATAGAAATTAAATGAATAATGCACACATTAATTCAATCGTGCATATTATATACTATACATTAATTAACACACACACACACACTTACACATATATATATATATATATATATATATGTGTAATATATATATATGATATATATATATGTAGACTGGCGACCTGTCCAGGGTGTATCCTGCCGTCCGCCCAATGACAGCTGGGATGGGCTCCAGCACCCCACCGCGACCCAGTATATATATACATATATATATATATACATATATATAATATATATATATATGTCACTGTTGTCAGAAGAAAACCTTGTATCTCCAAAATAGTAACTTTACAGAAGAAGGAAAAAACCTACTTTACTTTTAATGTAAGTCAATGGAACCAGAGTTTTTTCCAAGTCATTTTGGGCCGTTTCTTTTGTTCTGTTCATCATGAAATTTACACACAATGTAAAGAACAACAGGCACTTTCAAATTACCTCAAAAACTGAAAAAATGAGATGAGATTTTCTTCTGACAACAGCGATACACATACATATGTACACACATAAAAGAACGAATACATATATAAAGTAATTCATTTATTCATTTTTAAATTTTTATAATATAAATATAAATATGTATATAAATATATATTACATTAGTTAATTAATGTCTATAGATGTAGACGTTTTATTGATTAATATATAAATTCTATAACACATATAATAATAAATGAATTAAAGTCCCAATTCAGTACACAGCTTGCACACACATTTTTGATTTCATTCAGAACATAAATATTATTTGTAATCTGTACGACTGCCACTAAACCTTACTAAATAAAATATAAGATTAACCAGATTCCAATATAAAACCATAGAACTGTTTTTATATGAAGACCTGCATCATGAAAATTATAAAAATAATGATGATGAAAATACGGTAATAAATTGGGGTTTTGCGATGTGTATAAGTGGGAATGTTGTACTGTGCTGCACTGATTTGAGTGGATAATTTGTTGACTCGATCGGTTCAGAAAGCCTGGTTTCTCCCGTCTCTACATGGAGTGCATGCTGGGTAATGTAGTGAGAGAACACTGATGAATGGAAACGCTGTAATATTGTGAATTCTGTTAAGCTGAGAACACAAACAGCACATTGAACTGTAGTTTTGGGTGGAGCGGCCCTGTGAACAGTGTGTATGTGGATGTCCTCTGTGTTTCTGGAATAATCTCTCTCTCTCAGCTCATTAGCCAGATGGTTTAAAGTCTCTGTATGTAGGAGGACCTGCTGCCCCCTAGTGTCCGACCTCATTATCACCCAGCTCAGTCTGATATATCAGCTCTGCGGCTGATCAATCACATCAGCTGTGATCAGAGATTATCACTGATTCACTGTCGGATTCAGAGACAGTCTGAGCTCCGTCAGACTCATCAATACAGCTCCACCATATTGATTATTAGTAATCAGAGAGGCTGATAACCAATACATGTGATTGATATTGATTTGCCATAAATTAAAGTGTGTGTTTTGTTTGTTTATAAGTGTGTTGTTGTTTGTTTATTAGTGTTTGTTTATAAGTGTGTTTATGAGTGTGTTTTGTTTGTTTATAAGTGTGTTGTTGTTTGTTTATAAGTGTGTTTATAAGTGTGTGTTGTCTGTTTGTTTATAAGTGTGTGTTGTTGTTTACAGATGGCCTCGGCGAATGATGCCCGTTATGGTCAGAAGGAATCGGCCGATCAGAACTTTGATTACATGTTTAAGATCCTGATCATCGGGAACAGCAGCGTCGGCAAAACCAGCTTCCTGTTCCGCTACGCCGACGACTCGTTCACCCCGGCCTTCGTCAGCACCGTCGGCATCGACTTCAAAGTCAAGACCATCTACAGGAACGACAAGAGGATCAAACTGCAGATCTGGGTACGCAGAGGAACCGCATCACCGCTAATATCATTATTATTATTATTATTATTATTATTATGATTATGGTTATAGTTTCTCTGAGAGTGGATTACTCAGTAATACTCAGTAACTGTATTAAACGTACTGTAATACGGTGCACTAACTCACAAACACTGACACTTTGATGGTGTTTGGTGTGTTGGAGTTCGTCTGAGCAGACTGGAGGTTTTCACACAGTTAAACTCTGTTCTGAACTGAAAATAGACTTCATACTGTTTTAAAGTCTGAAGGTTTAAGGCTACGTTCACGTTTCCAGGCTGAAGTGGCCCAAATCCGATCTTTTGCCCTAATGTGACTCAGATCTGATGTTTTCAAATCCGACCTGAGCCGCTTTCATATGTGGTCCTAGATCAGATAATTATCTGATTCGTGGCTGTGTGACCTTTATGTGACGCTCAGATCTGAATTCATGTACTTTTTCTCCACTGCACCATCATTCAGCGTTACCATGGCAGCAGCGCCGAACAGAAGTTAAAGCCTGTAAACGGTGGAAAAGCAGCTCATCTCACCTTTTTCTCCTTCGTCTCGCTCTAATAATGAAGCTGAGAGCTGATCAGAGTTAATGATCTTCTCAGCGAAGCTCGTTCTGCTCGTTAGTTTGTGCTGATGATGAACGTGATTCGTTCACGTGACGTTACTGAGTAGGATGAGCTCATGAGGGTCATTTCAGGACGCCGGTTCGTCACATTAATGATAGATTTGAGTCACTTACCTAAACGAGTGTGAACCATCGAGTCAGAGAGATCGGATCTGACCAAAAAATCGGATTTGAGCAACGAGGCTGTAATGTTAACATAGCTAAAATTCAGTGTGATCAGCTCCTGATTCTCCATCTTCACTCTCAGTTCACACTGATGTGCCTCAGTTTAACAGTCTGACTGAATTCTGATTGAAATTAAGGCCCAGTCCCAGTTCACCCCTCGCCCCTACCACTGAGCCCTACCTTTGTGTGTTCACGTCTAGGGGTAGGGTGTCCTGATTCTTGTTGAGATAGAGGGGGAGGGTGAAGTGTTGGGTCTAAATCCTCCAAACGGAGGTTTTTCAGAGACTCCAAACAGAGAGTTATGAGAAAAACAGAAAAACCGGCAAGATGGAGAACAAGAGACCAAAGAAACCCACAGATACCTTTCAGAGTATTATGGTCCTTTTCTTCATAACAAGCGTAAAAAATTGCTAACAGTTTGCTGATGTCTCGGTTCCACTCGTTCCACCTTAAATAGTCCAGCAGTTCTGACGCCTGAAGCACCAGAATGTAACTGCTGCTCCATTTAAGGTGGAACAGGAAAATTCAAACAAGAATCTGGTGAATATCTGACTTCAGCTTCATATCACTGAAGAATTAGGGGTGGGTGATAATAAATAATTGCCCCCCTCTTTGAAGATCATATGATGCCCTAAATGTAACTAAAGCCCAGCAGTGAGGAGCTGAACTTTACCCTCCTCTGCTGTCACTGCAGACTGGCAGGGTTGCCTACAGAGCAGCGCTGGTAGCTGTTAATGAAGTGATGCTCTTTTATTTGAGGGTCCCATTTCAGAGGAAGATCTCAACCACTACCCTGTAACTCAGTTCCAAGGGGATTAGGGTGACACTCGAAAACAAGGGGTGGAAATAAGGAATGGGACTGGGCCTTTGTCTCATTTACATAAAGCGGAGAACCCTGTGTCTCTCCCCGTGTCAGTTTGTCTGCTCTGCTCTGTTAACTGTAACATACCTGATGGAAGTCTGGAGGAAACCATGGCTACAACTCTGACAGTTATAGATCAGTAAAGGTGATCTGACGGGCTGTGATCAGGTCTGTGAGACTCTGTGACTCTCTGTAATCTAAAGCACCTCAGTGTCGCTGACAGGAGCAGCAGGACTTCACCTGGAGTTTAGGTCCAGTTTTATGGATGACCTCAGACTTTCTGTTGATATTTATTAATCCTGATTCATCCGAGACGTCGTTATGCAGCTTTAACTCCTCCTTTTTATAATTTACACACTGCGTCTCCTTTGATGTGTGAAATGAAACAGATAAAACAGAGTCAGTGTTTATGTTCATATTCCACTGTAGATGATGTTCCACTGATAGATTATTACTGCCTGTTCAGTCTAAATGAATAAAGTCTGAAATATGAAAGACTTTAAAAAAGTTAAATATAAACATTTTGGGTTTGCAATATAATAATCTATAAACAAAATAAGAAAATAAACTACATCTCCAATTTACATCCACTGTCACCCTTCATATATATTTATATGTATATCGCTGCTGTCGGATCAAAACCTTGCATCTTCAAAACAGTAACTTTACGGGAGAAGGAAAAAACCTACTTTACTTTTAATGTAAGTCAATGGAACCAGAATGTTTTCCAAGCTATTTTGGGTCGTTTCTTTTGGTCCATTCATCATGACATTAACACACAATGTAAAAGAAAACAGGCATTTTCGAATTATGTCAAAAACCGAAAAACAACAAAAATGGAGATACAAGGTTTTGTTATGTATGTAGTTTTTATGATTTTGTATAATTATTTTATAATTCTTTAATGAGTATTTAATAATTCTTCAGAATTCTTTATAATTCTTTATAATTCTCTAATAAGTCTTTCATAATCATTATAATTTTATATGTTTAATAATTATTTATACATCTTTATTAGTCTTTTATATTGTTTACAATTTTAAATTCTTCTTCTTCTTCATTTTAAAGATCTACTATATTGAATAATTATTTACTAATTATTTAATAAATGTTTTCTTGTTTTTTGCTGAGAGCTGATGAGAGTCTGTGTTTGTGTTTGAAGGACACTGCCGGTCAGGAGCGATACCGGACGATCACCACAGCGTACTACCGTGGCGCGATGGGCTTCATCCTGATGTACGACATCACTAACGAAGATTCCTTTAACGCGGTTCAGGACTGGTAACGATCCTCTTCTTCTTTATCACGACCCTACATCACGCCACATTTCAAAATAAGAGTTTACTGAGTGTCTTTAGGCTCTGTGCCTGTTCAGGTCATTGATGGGTCATTTTATTTCCTGCAGGCTGATTATTTGTGTCTGTGCAGTGAGAATTTCACCTGGTAACGTTATTTAATGAAAGATAAACAGTGTAGAAACAGGATGGACGCTCTCACTGCCCTGTCGTAATGAGATCTAATGCTGCTAAGAATTAAGATGAAGTTCATTTGTGTGTTTTTTGTAAAAACACTCTTCAGTCCATCTCAGTCTTACTGAGGTCAGATACACTGAGCTGCCATTCAAACCACTTTTCCACTGCATGATGCGGCTCAACTCAGCTTGACTCGACTCTGTTTTGGTACCAGGTACTTCATTTTCCACTGCAGATGTAGCGCCCCCTCAGTGTAGCTGGTTGTCATAGCGATGCCACATGAAACTGCCGTGATGTGAAGGAGACAGATGTGTTCAGAAGAGGCAGCGAGACAAAAGACTGCTGACAAAAAACACGAGAGTTTGGGAAAAACTACATCAGAGCTCAGACGACGAGGCAATCCTGGTTGTTCAAAGGCGACACGGAGGCTACGCTAACTTGGTAGCTAACGTTAGCACATGTGTTTAGCGATTCTCTCTGACCAATCAGCAGTCTGCAGCGTTTTTATGTCACCTGTTGGTATTGGCTCATCTCGCTTGGAACCTTGATGGAGGCGATACCAAAAATATGTGGTATCAGGTTCCAGATTTGCTTTGTGGAAAACCAAAAAAAGCGAGTAGAGTCGTGTGGAGCCGGTACGGTGCAGCGGAACAGCGGCTTTACTTCAATATTCTACAGTAAAATCACCTTATTTGTAGTGTTTATAGAGTGTGGCACTCTGAACAGATATGGTTACGTTGGTTTGGACTACTTTTTTGAATTAAACACTTTACAGAGTCTTGAGTTTCGTATTTAAATAGTTTATTCGTTTTCCAGGCTGTGGTTGGTTTAGTGTAGTTGTGAAGACTGGAGCTCAATTCACTGCCCCGTCAAAGACACACTGCAGTTCACCAATAAGAGTCCTTAGATGTGAGTACTAACAGTTACACAAAGAAAAACGTGGATCTTTAACGTAGTGGGATTTTCACGTCAAGTCTGATACATTTTTTTGTATAAACGCTCTGAAAAGAAGACGGAAGCAGAAAAAGAAAGGGTTTTGATGAGTAGCAGTGATGACAAATTCGTTATTTTTCTTTTAGGCTCTGCCACTAAACGACACACATCCCATTCTACAGAAGAGACACCAACACGGAGAGATCCGCCCACAGATATACATACATTAATATATACATACATATATATATATATATGAGTCTGCCGCCTCATGCAGGAGCTGAAGCTGTATAACGGGTGATTCTGTCAGTGGGAGGATTCAAATCTCTGCCTCTGCTTGTTGCTCTGATTAAAAAGGAGTGAATGATACAGGGAGCCCATCAACCCTCTTCTCTTTCTGATTAAAGTATCAGGGGATTTCAGTCTTTTAACATCATCATCTACAAAATAAAGACACGTCTTTATTAGCGAGGGAAGCTAATCGTTTTCAGTTCTTCATGGGTGTAAACAGAATAGAGTGCAGGTTTATAAACTAAATGACTATAAACAGTCACTCTAACATGCTCCTCATCGTTCTCAGCCTTTCAGCTCTGCTCCGTCACGTTTTCTTTAACCTTCGCAGTTTTACAGTCAGGGTGTTGCTGGTCGTATAAGCTTTTGTGCTCTGCTACAAGCAAGTTGTGTTCTGCTGCCATCTTGATGCACTTTTCTCTGGGCTGCAGCCATGACGACGGAGCTCTGATTGATCAGCTTGATTTTTATCACAGAAAATCAACACAGAAAATCGAGCAGAGTAGAGAATGTACACAGCATCACAG